GGGGGGTAGACACGGCACTCGTGTACTGGAGTCTCACATTTGTGCACACCCCCCCCCCACTCTGATGCCATCCTAGATGGCCGCACTCCAGCTTGGCCTCCCCCAGAGAGGGTGGGTGGCACAGGAGAGCCGCACAGAGCAGCACCCATGGAGAGAGGCACTTGCAGGAGGAAACCGGGCATCCAGGCCTCACCACCACTCTGCCCCATGACCTGCAGCCTCAGTCTCCCCATCTGTGGACTCAGCAGTCTCCGATGTGTCTTCTTCAGAGGGACCGTGTGGGTGAGAGTCTTTGCAAACCGAGCCCAGGCAGAAGTCAGGGCTCCTTGCTACAGGAAAGGGCTTTTTCTCCCCCACCACCCCCTGGCTGCGTGGGGTGAGTGAGGCATCTCGGACACACTCAGCCAGGAAGAGTCCCAGAAGGAAGCCACTTGGTGGAGCCCCTGATGGGATCCAGTCTGGGCAGAATCCGGATTCTGAGTGGTGTCCACCCGCGCCTGGCCTTGAGGTTGCCCTGCCCCACGCCCACCCCGTGTTCCCTGAGTGCCTGGGCCCTAGGCTGAGCTCCACCCAGGCGGTGTCCTCGGTGCTGCACCCACATAGTCCCTCAACGTGGCTGATTCCTTTAGGGGACTTAAATTTCTTCCTGGGACAGGCTGATGAAGTTATTCATCGGGGAAGATGGAGAGGCCCGGGCAGTTCTCTAAGTGCCCCTGGTACGGGGTCGGAGGGGCAGGGCCTGGGTAACTTGCAGCAGCTCCCTGGTATGATGATTCTCCAATAATTCGTTTTTGAATCAGATGGATGGTTCAAGGCCCACGCACTCCGGGCAGCTTTGTTTATACTTTTTTACTCCCATTTATAGTCACCTTCTCCCAATAGCAAGGAAGATATTTTCTCCGGTGGGTGCTAACTCCTCAGGCCCGGAGGAAACTGCTGCTGAGCAGCTGGACGGGGCTCTCCCTGGCGGCACAGAGGCTCGGTGTCCCCTGAAACCAGCCGGCCTGCTAACAAAGCTGGTCGGGCCCTGCAGGGAGCGAAGAGGGCGCAGGGAGGCCCGGGACAGTGCGCGGCCCATGGGTTTTATTTTTGTGGCTTGTTTGAACCCCGCAGCGGAGCAGGGAGGCACGAGCCCGGGACACCAGGTCTCTGCAGCGCCCTTCGGAAGCCTGGGCCCACAGGGCAGCCTCTCCAATGCCAGGCCACTTGGAGCCCAGTCCTCTTGGGACGTGTGAAACAGGCATGAAAAGCTTGTGAAGCGCTAGCAGTTCCTGGGCTCCAGTGGGTTTAAATTTCAAGGACGACTTATTTCCAAGGAGATGCTAATAAACCGCTCACAGCTCCTCCCTGGAGGAACCTTCCAAAGGCTCCTTTACCATAAATAAGGTCCGCTGTTCGCTCGTCAATCATCCCCGCAAACGCGCGCCTCTCAAGTCCCGAGGGAATCGAACAATCCCGGGCGCCGTCGGCCCGCGCCCAGGGTCAGAGGAGGAACCCCACTCCGGAGACGGCCCGGTTTGCATTTGGATCATTTATTTCAGGAAATACGTTTTCAACACTTCGTTATTTATACAAAAAGACGGATTTCTCAGGAGGAGGCACATAGCAAAAGGCCACTGCGGAACATATCCCCCAGTGAAACTAAGGGTTTTTCGAGATCTGGCTACAGAAGGAAAGCGAAGGCGTCCCGCGGCGGACGCTGCGGAGCCCCCCGCAGCGCAGAGGCTGGGGGGCGAGCCCACCGGGGAGGCTGCCCCGCCCCGAGGCTGGAGATGGACCCGTCCTTCAAAATCGTGGTTTTGGCAAAAACATGGCAAGTCGGCAAGTAAACTGATTCGCTGAGGTGTCCTTCCTCTGGTAGGTGGGGAGTGAACACCCAATGTGACAACACCCACGCACATGCGCACACGCACACCCCAGGGCACACCTGCGGGCACGCCTCTGTCTAATCTCTCCCACTGTGCACTCGTGGATGGTCCCAGCTGGTCCCCTCATGGGGACAGAGGGTGAGGGAGCACATGGCCAGCTGTGGGCTGTGCAACCTGACTCCCCGACATTCCCTCTTTTGGAGTCTTCTTAATGGGCCCTGGGGTGCAGGGACCCAGGCACACTCAGGGCAACAGAAAGTTAAGGTCGCCTGGCCCCCCACCTCCCCGGGTCACAGCGCCAGTCAGGGCCAGGCCAGGGCTGAGTGTGCCTCTTGGGTGGCCGACTGGGCCTTCACTTAACCAGAGCACCTGGGCCAATGGACGTCCAGACAGACACACACACACAAGCACACTTGCTCAGTCACAGGGGGCAGGGACCAAGGCCACTGGGGCCACTCTGAACAGACCAGCCACGGTCCACAGAGCCTCCCTTCCTTTGGGCACCTGTCCATCATTTCCTTGCTCACCTCCCCAGCGGACTCACTTGAACTCCCCAAAATTCAGGGGGAGGGGCGGGGGTGCATCTCTTTTCTTCCTTTGAGTCCTCAATCAAATCCCAGCGAGAGGAAGACACAGGGAGATTAGGACATACCTCTCTCTCCAAACTGTCCCCACTTCCTGTCCCGGGGGACAGCTGGGAGAGTCTGTGGGCTGAGTGGACGGCAGAGATAAAGGCACTTTCTGCTCCAGGACGGCTTGCAGGTGGGTGGGTGGCAGCCAGTGGTGCTCGCCACGTCTAAGCAATTGGCAACTTGCGTCTTATGGAATTAACTATTTTCCCCTTGGGGGGGAAAGGGGTTGGGGGGCTCTCTGAGTTACGTGGTCTGAGTTACGGCCCAGGCCATGTAGGGAGGTGGAGGCAGGAAGGGGCTCCAGGTCCCCCAGGCTGGCTCCATCCCCTTGGGCACAACCCCGGCATGTTCCAGGGCCTGAGACAGCGGAGGGGTG